GTTTTTTTTTTTGGGGGGGGTTTAACTATTCACGTGGAATTTGGAAAAAGGACGGGAAGCATGTGTGGAGACATGTTGTTGCCGTGTGACCATGCAAAACACACCACATTCGTTCGATCTGGTTTCACGGGGTGAACGGGTCTAGAAGGCCAGCTGGTAGGGTGCTGTTTGAGGCGTGCAAAAAGCTTAATTTTTCACTTGAGACATGTTGTTGCTGTGTGCCTTGCAAAACGCATTCATTAGATGTAGTTTCACGACAAGGGTTAAGACTAAGAGGTCGGAAGGCCTGGACTTTTAAGGGTCTGGGGTGAAAAAGAGTTGACACAGGAAGCCGTAGCCGTGATTTTCCCCAGCAAGTTTGCCTGTCATGACAGGGGCTTGGATAATCAGTGGCGTGATTGCAGCTGCTGGTCAATTTAGACAACATTTTTCAGGATGGCTTAGCTATGGTAATATCGTAGGAGGTGTGGACAACTAGTTGTTGGCATAATTTTTTTGGATACCCCCGCATGCGTGTCGGCAATCCAAACCCATAGTGCCAGAGTGGCACGCAAATTTCAAATGAATAATTTCAAAAATGTTACTTTGGAATTTTCAGAAACATGTCAGATGTCCAGAGAGAAAGCGTTGTGGAACTTGATTCGAAAGAGTCAAGACGCAGCTTGCGAAAGGCAACTGAAGTTCCATGACTCCTGATGTCATTTATGAGATTCAAATTCGACTCACGTAACGAATCTTATCCATTTTGTCCGCATGGAGGTATACATTGCAAGAAGTCCTAACTCAAAGTCTTTGCCGTGCTTGCGAGGATGTTGAAAATGTGTGTGCATGCAAAACATGTTCGAACCCCCGGTGGTTGGCACGCAAAAAAAATGTGGTACAACCGGTGATAGCAACGGAATAAATTCAAACACATTCACGCACATGCCCACATGTCGACAGCAATGTGCTCCAATGAATGGGTCACAAACGCACGCACGCCATCGCCAATTGTGTTCTCGTTGATGTCGCTGGGGCTGGGGCCGGTCTGCGTATGCACGCCGCGCGAAACAACGCATTTGCCCAGAGTGCTTGCGCTCGCCGCGATGTTTTCGGGTGTTTCTAGGCGCCGCTGGAATCAAGAAACGGGGGGCTCTGGAGCCACAATGCCTGTTAAACGGTGTAATCGTGCCAGCGCAGGCAGCAGGCTTCCCGGAAGAGATGGCTGAGGTCGGGGGTCTGGTTGAAAGCCGAGGTTGTGTGCGAGGCCGTAAGGCCCAAACGGTGGACCAACCACGGGCAAATGCTGAGGGACAAGGTGCTGACCGCCCATGAGCGCGGCCCAGCATCGGCACAGCTTCTGCGGTGGCAGCAGTGAGTCGACACGCAAGAATTCAAAGCACACGCATTACTGAAGTCACACGAAAGGACGTTGTTGGCGGCAATGACCCCACCTCGTGGCACATGCGCAGGAGGTAATTACATCAGATGTGGGCCTGGGTGCTGTGCACTGTTTGTTGCAAAGGGAACTAAAGTATGACGGGTCCCTTTTGCCCCGGTATGATCTCACGCGCATTCCGGGCATTCCTTTCCCATGCTTTGGATCTTGCCGCCGTATGCAACAGTTCTGAAAACCAGGTCTTCCAATACTGATGTGTCATCAGCCGGGGCACGGCCGCGCATTTTAGCCCGCGTCAACCCTTACGCAATACTGAAGAGACAAACATGCGCCGGCGCGGCTGCAAAGCAAAGGGCGCATTATGGGTGCATTCAGTTTCCTGGCCCAAGACCATGGGTAATTTTTCATGAGGTGGCAAGGATGCCTGACAAACCGTGCAGCTCAGGACGCAACAAGCCGCTTCCCCATGTTTTTCAGCGTGGGACATTTTTCAGCAAGTTGGGGAAAATTTTGCAAAAAATTGTTGTTTCATGGATGTGTGTGCACTTTTGCTGAATAATGCCCACCAATTGGCCTAAATGTTTTGGTGGTTCATCCCCCTTCAAGATTCTAGAGCTGCCGTCCTGAGAATGCAGGAAAGGAGCTCAAATCGCCATAGCGCAGCTAGCCTGCAAATCCCAAGCACGGACCGGTGTGTTGTGGCTTGCGCGGTGGGTTCCTACGGTTTTGGAATATCAGTGGCCGAGGTCCCAGTGCTTGGTTGGTTGTTTGTTGCAGCACAACGAGTCTTGCAACAACGTTGCGTGAGCTGCCGTTGCACGGGGATAACCATGGCGGGAACCCAAACCAGGATTTGGGACAGGTCAAAGCCTCGTGCATCGACACATGGGCCAGAAACTCAAGAGCGGCTGAATCGCGCAGTTGGCAATCATGTGAATTTGTGTGTGACCGCCCTTCCCTCGCCATAGTTTCGATGGCTTTCCAAAAAAATCGAAGCTTTCCCGCCTAGTCATTGGACAGTCTTCGTTTGGCACTGGAGACAAGGCGTGACCAAAGAAAACAATGAACATGTTGGATCCCAGGCAAAGGGGTATGAAATTTGCCCGCAGGCAGACTCCCATGGTTAATGCTGCCATTGGTTCTTGGGCGCTCCTTGCAAAGTGGCATGAGGGGCTGGCTGCGAGTCGCATGCCCCGCCGGGCTCGAGCCACATGTCAGCAGCCGACCCGGACGCGCTGCGCCACGGCGCTGGGGGACCGGGCCTTGGGACAATTAATGGTAAAAAAATGCGCGTCTCTTTCTGCAGCTGCTTCTTGACGTTGAGGTCGGGGGCAGGGTGGGTAAGCGATTGCAACGCGCAGAGGTATTCCCGGAACAAGCACCATCGCCCCACGCAGCTTTAGATGGTAGCGAACTGAACTTTGCCACGCAAATATCCGCCGAAAAAAAACAAATACCTGGCGACCGCACAGCCGAATGTCGACTGGGCAGCACGAAGGCACTCCATGCTTCACAGTGGAATATTTCATAAGAGGAAAGAAAAGTGCGGGAGAGAGAGAGCCAAAAAGATGCGAACCGTCATAATCAAACACAAGACAGCAGAAACCGAAAAACAAAAAGTTAAGAGGGGGGGGAAATTAAGAGGGGTGCCTGCACAATGGTGGATGCAGGTATAATTGCATGCCGCATTCACACACATCTCACATTTCGCAAGCTTGGCTGATGGGTATGATGCCGTATGGTTTCCTTGGCCACTTCACGTTTCGCACACGTCAGCAAATTGGACAAAAACACGGCACATCGCAATCACCGCGCCGCCGCCCATGCCGTCTGGCGGTGTTTCTGCCGACGTGCAGCGCGACCCCGCAAACAGGCCGACCGGGCCGCAGCGGCACGCAGCAGCCGCTGAGGAGGCTTTTCAGGCAGGCTTGGTTTCGCTTGATGCCGTATCCTTCGAGGACGAGGTCCGCAAACGCGTGCATACCCTCCAAAGCGTGCCTGCAAAACTGCGGGGCACCGTCCGTGGCGCTCTGCGAGCTGGACTCCGGCTTGCTGCGGCGCGTGCCTCCCCTCAAGAGGAATTCCGGGGTTGGAAGCTGTTCATGCTGGCCCCGTGCATGCTCCTGCACCACACAAGCTGCCCGCACCTGGGGGAGCTGTCGGCTGCGTCTCGCACGCTGGTCGCTGAGCCGCTTGCCCCGAGCACGACACTCACCGAGTTGCGTGATCCTGCGCACCGACCGCCCGAGCCTTATGCTCCCCTTTCGCCCGACGTTGCGGCTTTCTAACCTGCTGGCGCATGTCTGCTTCCCGCCTCACAATTTTTGGCATCGCTTCGAGGCGCCCGTCGGGGAGCGGCAGCAGGCCTTTTTGGGGGCGACCAATGAACATCTCCGAATCTTTCTTGATGATGAGGAGGATGGTCGGCTTCTCCACGTCGTCGCCGAGCGTGTTGCCCAAACCGATGTCCCGCCGCTGGCCTTCGCTGCACTCCGAGTTGGCCGCATGGTCGCGCTGCGCAAGTCCGGGGGCGGCGTGCGGGTCCTTGTTGTCGGAGATGTCCTTGGGCGCCTCACTGGCCGGTTCCTAGCCCAAGCCTATGCGACCCAGCTGCAACAAGCCTGTCTGCCCTTCCAGAGGCCCTTGCACGTGTGCTCACGGTCGCGACCGAGCTAGATCCACGAGCCACAGTGCTTTCCGTTGACGCGGCTGGGGCCTTTGATCATGTTTCCCGCGGGGCTATGCTGGAAGCGCCGCACGCCAGGCCTGAGCTGCAGCCACTGCTGCCGTACGCCCGGCAGTTTTATGCCACACCCAGCTCCAACACGTGGGTCGACGCCAGCGGCACTTCCCACACCGTCTCCCAAAGCGAGGGAGGGGGAGGGAGGGGAGCAGGGAGACCCCTTAATGCCTGGCCTGTGCTCGCTCGGTGCCCACGCCGCACTCCAAGAGGTGCAGGCCGGCATGCGAGACGGAGAGGCTGTGTTTGCTTTCCTCAACGACGTTTATGTCGTCGCGCTCCCCGACCGGATCCCGGCCGAGGGGGCTGACGAGCGTGGCATCAACTGCGAGTTGCTCCCCATGCCACAGGGGCAGCCCGTTGCAGACAACCTCGATGCGCCGGGCCTCCTGCACGGGCACATCCAAATTCATATCAGCCAAGCGCACATTCCTGGCCACATGTGCGCCAGCCTCGCGGCGAGTGCGCGCTCAAGGGAAATGGCGCGCGAGGCAAGGACGCCGGCGGTGGCACACACCGCTTGGTGATCACCAAGCACATCAAGTGGCCGGCGGCAAGCGCAAGCCCGCGGTGCAAGTGGGAGCGGCAGGCGCAGCCGGCGAAGGAGGAGAACACGGAAGGTGCGTATTGGGGAGTGTGACATCCTCGTGTGTGAGTAGAACCATGAGGCACGCGAAGAATGCGGCCCGGCTTGTGACAGCAGCAGCGCTCGAGATGCAGGTGAGGTCAGGTCAAAGCCTCGTGTATCGACATATGGGCAGGAAGTGCCAAACAGCCGATTCGCTGAGCTGGCACTCATTAGAAATGGTGCGTAAACACTTTTTCCCGCCATACTTTTGATGGCCGGTTCCAAAAGTATTCTAAGCTTTGCCGGTCACCACACATGTCCAAGGCAAGTTGGTAAACTTCTGCAAGCCAAATTTGCCGGTGAAAGGCTCGAAAAAAACGTCTCAAACGCGCGCTCGTCACAGGGCAGCACGGCGCTGCCATCCACGGAGGTGGTCACACGGTTCCTCGCGGCTGGGGGCTTCAGCAGGGGGCCGCACGGCTTCCTCCCAGTTAGGTACTGCGTAGCCTTGTGCGCAGAGGTAAACTGCCGCGTGCTGGGCAGCCGCAGCTGACGGCGGGCTGTCAGCAAGCGGTCCCTGCAGTGCATGCAGCATGCGTGCCGCCACCTCTGGCGCCCGATCCCGCAGGACAGGAGGTGCGTCACACCAGGATGCCCAAGGTGTGCTGCCTGGCGGTCCGAGGCGTCGTGCTCGGTGGCGTAATCGGCCGTTGCTGCTGGGGACAAGAGGCGGAGGAGGTAGTTGGCTCGCGGTGCAGCGCAGTAGCGCAGCAGCAGCCATGCCGCTTGAAGGTCCTCAACCGCGGGGATGGCATGCAGCAAGCGGTCATGGGCCTCCCGTTTGAGCACGAGCTGGTTCCGCACAAACGCCTCCGACCCCAGCGGCGTGCCCAAGACTTTGAGGCCTTGCTGGTCACGGGGCAGTGCCCAGTCGCCGACCCAAACAGGGTCACCACCGACTGGCCGAAGGTCGCCGATGTTTGCAGGCTCCTCGCCGGCTGCGTTCCAGATACGTGTTTTGGCACGATTTAGTTGCACGTGTGCATGCCTCCATAACGCAACCTCAACCGCAGGATGCAACTCCCGGCTAACGCCGATGCCCATCCCGGCATCGTTGTTGCCCAGGCCACCCGCCGCAAACAACGCCAAACCTACCCCGAGCTCGAGCGGGCACGCCGCTGCCGCCTGGTTTTGTTCGGGCTCGAGGTAGGCGGCAGGTGGGCCCCTGAAGCGGCAACCTCCATCCGCTTGCTGGCCTGCGCGCGTGCAGCAGAAGTGCCTAC